GCGCCCATGAGTGTGTATGTCTTCTCTCCGTTGCTCTCCTCATCACAAGATTAATGATTTCTATAGCTGATATTTTTGATTATACACAACAGAAAAAAAAAACAGTTTAATCAAATTATGTGTGGTCAGCTACCTCAGTGCATTTAAATCAGCTACAGCTCTGCAGCAATGCATGCATGATAACATCTCTGCTACGAGAGAAACCTTAGGTCTGGCAGGATCCTGCAGACAATTTTTAATATACTTATCACAGTATAACAGTGGATTAATAACTGCACTTGATTTAAATAATTGTCATGGACAAGGGGGAGATAGATGGAGGGTAATGAAGGGAGGAAAAGAGGGGAAGCTAATGGATAACAGCAGATGTGATGTACATCAGAGGTGATGATCCTCTACCTCAGACAAGAAATTCATTTGACAGCTCAAAGCTTGACCACTGTCTGACACATACAAGCAGAGGAACACACACATGCTCAGTCAGTCACCCCATCACATCATCACATCCGTCTGCTGCACAAGTGACAGATGCTTGTTCGACATGTATGACGTGACAGAGATAAATTACCTGAAAGAAAAGAGAGAGAAGTGATGGGGAGGACAGCAATCCAGCTTTCTGCATCATTCGGTTTGTCAGTGCAGGAAAGGTTTCAGAGGACAGAAAGGGAGAATCTCCGGAAGAACCCAAAGCAATTATTGCACAAACAGGATATATTGACTCTAATGTTACTCATCCATCCATTATCTATACACATCCCAGTTGACCCTGTGCAAGAGGCGGGGTACAACCCAAACAGGTTGCCAGCGTTTCACAGGACAAACATATAGAGACAAACAACCAGTCACACTCACATTCACACCATCAATCTCACCCTGATCTGCATGTCTTTGCACTGAGGAAAGAAGAATAGAAAACCCACCCAGACACGGGGAGAATGCAAATTCCACACAGAAAGATTTGAACCAGGAACCTTCTTTGCTGTGAGGTAACACTGCTAACCACTGCACCACCTACAATATCCGTTACAAAAAATATAAAAGGTATGTTTGCTTTTTCAAGCTTAACCACATGTAAATGCATTTACTGCCTTCCAGTAAACAAAAAATATAAGCTTTTATCCAGTTCAGTTCCTGGAGCAGTCAATCACATGGATTTCATTCAAATTATAGGATTAGAAAAAAATCTACATCAGAAAAAGAAACAAGAAAACCACCAATAAATATTTTTATCAACTTTTGTTTCCCACTGCTTGAAGCTGCATCAATTTAAAACAAACACATTTAAAAAGACTTATTTTCAGTTTTCAGTTCTCGTCCATGTGAAGGCAGCTTATTGAATAGTTGAGTAAGTTTATTAGCATCTCAATATATTTGTACCTGTTAGATGGGGTGGATAGATTTTTAAAATGATAACAGTGTTGTGGGTAGAGGTGATCTGAAACTTTGCAGTAACTTGTCAGTGCGATGGTGCCCCTGCAAAGCGAGTGCTGACCATTTAAAGCAATGGACAGCTTCCAGTGAGAGTCCATTAATCCAGTAAAGGAGCACATCAAACCCAAACAGCCTCAGTCAGCTGAGAGACGCTTAGTTTTTAAAATTTGAAGACATCAAAGTAAAATTACAAAGAAGAGATTCATGTCTTGATTAAAAGCAAACCCACTGGCAGACTCAAAGTCAGAACCTTATTTTGGGTTTAGCACATCTCAGACTTGCATCATGGCGCCTTACATCATGATGAAGTATCTTTGGAAAAGCCTTTTTTCCCAAACTTCCAGACTTACTTTGATTTAGGATTCAACTCTTCAAGATTATAATGATTGTTTGTGTGAATAATGTCTATTGAAGACTGAAGTGTAAAGGAACAAATCTGATGGAAATCTGAGTGATTCAAAGTCAGCAAGAGAGGGAGAATGAAATGGAAGAACAAGGACAGTGTGTAGAAGTTGGGGGAGGGATGGCTGGAGTAAGGGTGAGAAAGAGAAAGGAGAGTTTTAAAGACAGAGAGAGGAAAGAGAGAAGAGAGATGTAAGGTGGAAGTGAACTTGAAATGAAAAAAAACAAAAGAAGATGTGTCCTGTAGTGAAGCTCATCGTGGATTCTACCCAGTAATCTGTCTGCAGAATTGGGATGGACAGTATCTCATCATAGGAACAAACAGCACTAAATATCAGATGTAAATACATAAATGTAATGCAGAGATTAAACAACACAACCACATGAATTTCCATCTTGTCTCCATCTCACACAATACAACCACAAATTCAATATAAATAATCAACAGACATCAACGTGTATATGCACATAAACATATTTAGCTCATTATACAACAGTAGCATCGTATTTTGTGAGAAATTAACCCACATTAGCTACATTAACAGCAACTGAATTGATTAATTTGCTCTGGTGAGCTGGAAGGAGGCACTAATGAAAAGAGATGAATGAAAACAGGAGGAAAAAAATCAGTAAATGGGAATCGAGATTTGCAGCAAATGTAATATTTTGACAACATATTACCTTTCTCCTTCTGAATCTATTCCATAGTGAAGCTGTGGTGATGGGACAAGTGGTAAACCAAGAAGGTGCAGACGCTGCGTTGTCTGTCTGCTCCTATTGTGGAAAAAAGTCTCAGGAGGAAGAGGATATATTCACTCTAAACTCTAACTGCATTACTGTACTTCATCACAGCATCATTTTCTCATTTGGACACTTTGTTTTATCCATCTGCTCCATCTCGTCCCCTCAGTTCCCCTCATTTATCCATCATGTACAATACTGTCTCACAACCTGACTTCATTCTCCTCAAATTTCCTTCATCTGTGAATCTATGTGACATTTTGCAGCCCACAAATGAAAAGTACAGAGACTACAGCAATGCTAGCAGTTCCGTACAGCTGCTAACATTCAAACACTGATGTACTGGGTAACTGGCAATTTGCACACGATGGTGGGGCAATGTGAAAAGTCGAGTCATCAAAGTGACAAAAATCCATTATCAACTTAATACCTGTACCAACTTTCAAGCTGTCCATTTAGCTGCCAAGACATTTTCACCAAAGTCTGAGAGCGTGATGACCACCACAGTCAGTAGGATTCATCATCTGGGGACCAAACAGTTTCTGTGCAGAATTTCATGACAATCCATTTCATAGTTGTTAAGACACGTCAGTCAGGACGTGACCATCGCACAGTGAAACAGGGCTAAACACCAACTACACAGCAAATTGAAAAGAGTTGAATTCTTGGTGTTAAAATAGACATACACTAGTAGAGTTAATTATACTCTGGATATAGTTAATTCATTATAATTAACTCTCAGTTGTTGTCAAAACCGAGTGTAAAAAGAAAGTGTCACTAATTCAAACCTCTAAGTGTAAATGTTTAAATATTAACTCCGAATTTCTTACTCTAAACTCTAATCCTGTATTTCACACCTCAAGTGTTCACGTCCCCTCGCCCCTCCCCCCTACACCGTACGAACACCGCTATGCTGAAGCAAGAACTGTCTCGACTCAGTTTCGACTGCGTGTCAATCGGTCTGCAGAAGATACAGCTACCTCTCAGCTTTTACACTGTGCGGTAAGTACAAGAAGTAGTAACTTTACTCGTCACGCTGTTACCAAAACCCGAACACCTGCTTAGAGGTTAGCATGCATGCCTGGTCTCACTGTAACATAAAAAGTGCGGCAGTAAACGGTGAGTTTGGCTTGACGTTTTGGTTGAGTGATACTAGTAATACACTTTGTAACCATAGATATAAAACGTGATAAGATGATGCTAATGGTTCGGAGTTGCTAGCTAGCGTGCTAAAGTGGTGCTAACGCTAGCTAGCCTTTTGTCCAAAGTAATTTCTACATTATTTTTGTTGCAAAATAACATAGCTCTTGGTGAAGTATAATATAACTTGTTGTCAGTAACAAACACACACCGTGAAATTGCGGTTTTCGACAGACTGCTCATGTTTACCTGCCAAAACAGCAGGATGTCTTTGTACTGGGTCACACCGAAATAGAGTTATATTTCTAAGTGTCATATGGTTTATCTTCGGAGACATTTCAATGTCGGTTCCCTCAATGACATGAAAATAAGTAACAATATTTTTCTGTGCCTTATGTCTTCTAAAATGTGTAGATGCATTAATGTCTCCTGGGAATTCTTGTGGTAAGATATTTTTATTATATGGGCTAAGCTGCATGATATCGGCTCATATTGACTTTTCATTTTAATAACAGTGGGTAAGATACATTGTTCATAAAGCAATCCTGTCACTGAATTCATATAGAAAATGCTGGCAAAGGTGGAATACGGAGGAGTCCAAAAATACATCAAAATTCCACAAATTGATGACAACTTTGACTTCCAGAAGTTTCTTCAAGAAGGTTTGTCTCCACACATTTTAAGCTAAAAAAAAAAGCCTTATAGGCTTTTATGCTCTAAATGTTTAAATTACATGGTTGATAATAAACTTAATGTAACTTCATTTTATTTTTTTTCCCCCCAGTAACAGACAAATTTAGTCTGCAGGCCCAACTTGTGTCTGAAGGTGTGCTCGGCTTGACTGACACATCAGAGACTGAGGTTGATGCTGATTCATTCGATGAGCTGGTCAAGTCAGGGGTGAGAAACTTCAAGGTTGGATATCGCCAGTATCCAATAACAGGTAAGGTTATGTTGTCTTGATTTTTTTTATCATTGACCAATCAATAAATTCCTGTTTTTAATTTAAATTGATTCTTCTCTGAACTATTTTTCAGATATTGCTATTACTTTGGATGAATCAGATTCATCTGTATTACTAGACCCATCACTATCTCCAGCATCATTGCCAGACCCTCCAGCATCAACAGCTTCGACGCCAGAATCGACAGCACAATCACCAGCTTCTTCCATTTCATCAGATGCTACTATTATCGTCCCAACCACAAAGAACAGGAAGAGGGCAGAAAAGGGCATAAAAGAACTGGATCGCAATGAAGCAAGACAGGTAAACCTTGAAACCAGCTACACATGTATTAGCTCATAAAATTTGTGCTAGATTAGAGGCTGCACCTCAACTATTTATATTAGTTGAATGTAATATGTGAAACTTAACTACATTTAACCAAATGTAGTCAATTATTTTAAAGCATGAAGCTAAGGGTTAAAAAATTAATGTTGTCTTTGCAGATGGTTGAAACTGCTCTGAGCTCTAAGCCAAAGGGTGAAGAAATCTTCAGAGAGTATGACAAAACCAAAACACTGTCAGTTGTGACACGCAAGCAGATGATCAACATTCTGGTTGCAGAAATGATAGAAACATACGGGTAAGAAATCATTTTTATTATAATGGCAAAGGAAAACATGACTGGACACATCTAATAAATAATTTGTTTCTAAAGGAGGATTCCACCAATGCATGTCCGGGCCAGTTATGCACTTGGAATTGTGACCGTTTTTCCATATCTCCAAGATCCTTACTCAAAACATGGATATGTAAGTTTTAATGTGTCTTTTAAGTCCAAAAATGTGTTGTAGAACTTTATAAGGCCATTTTTCTGCTTTATATAAGAGATGCACAATATTATTGGCACAACCTTTATCAGCTGATAAATGACTTTAAAATTAAATATCACCATCGGCCCAATACTAACATCTCTGCTGATATGACAAACCAATAAAATTATGCTTTATATTATGCCCTACAGCCCCACAAAATGATTAAAACCATAGTCTAAGTTGAAGTAGTTTCCTTATGTTGCCCAGTGAGTGTTTTGTTAAGCCATTCATTTATGTCTGTCTCTACCAGTGGGCCATCATGGTATGAGTAGGCATAAAAAATATTTTTTTTCACTACAGGAAAGACTTGAGATTATCTGAAATTAGGTCAAAAAATGTCCACATTATCAGAATCAGTATCTGCAATCACTAATACTTTATATTTGATGTGTGTGCATGCAGGAACACTACTATGATCCTCAGGCCAATACTGGCTATCTTGCATGGAGACTCAAGACAGTACAACGCAACACCCATGATGGCTTCCGTGAGTGTTCCAGGCCTGATTTCCAGGACAGTCCGACAACCCAACGAGAATCTCTGTTAACTGGTGACCAGCTATTTGGTGAGGAGTGCAGGGAGGCTCTCTCCATAATGAGACACTCAATGGACAAATCTGTGGTTAAAGAGAAGATGAGAGTCACCTTTGACTACAGACAGAAGCTTGTTCATGACCAGGATGCAACAGCTTCAGTGTTGGATGTCTTCCCTCGTTTTCTTGATACAGCTGGACTGGTAGGAATATGTAGAGATTATTATTTTTATTATTTGACTCCTTCTAAAGCAAAGTACATTTTAGTAAGCTGTATATGGACATTGTGCCTCTGTTTAAAGATTGAACAGGATTTTTCCATGATGTTCGGGGAGCATGTATCTGGAAGGTTTCTTGCGAGGTGGTCTTCAGATTTCAAGCACAGAGTCATCACAGAATGCCAGAGTCTTCCCTCGAGTCCTTATGTTGACGAGCTGCTGGCTGCTTCTGATCTTGAGGTTGAGAATGACTACGGTGAATATGAAGTATTTCTGCCCATTTCAATAAATCCAATATGCAACAGTCATCCAAAGCTAAATTTGTGGTCCTGAAATAAATTAATTGATCTCTATTGTCATTTTAATAATGATGAATATGAAGTTGAGTTTTGTTATTCAACAAAAACAATCATTTTAGTTAAATGGTAAATGAAATGGTATCTGTAGTAAGCAAGAAATAATGTTTTACAATGCTTTTGTTGTCTTTCTCAAATACTTGTCTTCAAGGCTGGGATAGTGATATGTCTGCTCTCATGTTGCTGTTGCATCTCCTGCCCCCTACATCAAAAGGCCAGAAAAAAACTCCCAAGATGAGCTCAGCACAGGCAGCCAATCATGTTGTCAGATTCATTAAGGTACCATCAGCTTTTTGTACTACTGTGTAAGAAGTGTGAGGTGCAGATTGGACTGTAAGAATAATTCTTGCTGTGTATCTAGTATGTTATGCTAAGTATATGCATAATGTGTCATTCAAACTACAGGAAGGAGCCAGCCTCACTACATTCCTGGATAAAGTTGATGCAAGGCAGCCTTTCCTCCTTTGCATCGGGGTGCAAAGAAAGAAAATCGGAAGGTTCTTCATTGTTGTGGACCAGAAAGCTATCCCATGCAACGCTCAGACATCTGTGGCTGCTTTTGATGTGCTGTTCAAGACTCACTATGTCTTCAGCCTCTCCTATGATGAAGCACTTTCTGCATTCTACACTTTCATCCAAACAACGATATACAACATCGATGTTGGAACCACAAAGGAAACCCCACGAGTCAAGGAACTGAGGGCCAAACTACTTCAAGACCATTAAAATGTCACCAATTCACAAAGGTCAGAGCACAGTTGAAAAAACTGTCTGATTATGTTCACATGTTTTGTTTGTAAAAAGCACCACAAAAATTGTTCAGTTCTTTGTCAACATTTAAAATTTCAGCATGGACTATATCCAGCTAAAAACTTACGTTTGAAATGTGGAGAGTGTCCTTCATCTTTTTGTACATACAATGGCTTCAGAAAGCACCTAAAGACTGTTCATAAGAACCATGATGAGCTGGTCGATACTAACCAGGAAGTGGCCACACAAAGACATTTTGAGTTTGAATCTTTAAGTGAACAGCCAACAACTTCTGCTGCATTCATGTTACAGGTTCGTCCTGTAATCACACAGAACTCACTTGAAAGAATGTGCGGTTCAGTTGTTTCACACTTACAAACCTCTGGTTGTTCTCAAAGCACTATCCAAACGATAGTTTGTTCGATGGAGGAAGTTATTAGTGATGTTCAAGGTCGAGCACAAGAAGCAGTTCTCCAAACATTTTCCTCTGAAACTAAGGAGTCGGAAATTTATAAGAAAGTAGAGCACTGTTTAAATCAATTAGACAATCCCTTTTCAAAATTTAACACACAGATGAAGAGACAAAAATATTATGATGAAAAATGGGAAATAGTTGAGCCTAAAGAATTTGTCCTTGGTGTGAGAATGGATACACGTAGAAATAGAACTACAGGTGTATATAGTCAGATTCCTGTTACAGACAAGTACATGTATGTACCCATTTTAGGTACACTGAAATCCATTTTTAAAAATAGTGAGATAAGAGAGTGCTTCTTGCAAGAGAAACACTGTAAAAAGGGGACATACAAAGACATTAATGATGGGTTTTATTTCCAAAACCATCCTCTTTTTTCACAACAGAGACATGCTCTACAAATTTTACTTTATTATGACGATTTTGAAACGGCTAATCCGTTGGGTTCTAAGAAGGGGATCCACAAACTTGGTTGTGTTTATTTTACTTTAAAAAACCTCCCACCCAAGGTGAACTCTGTACTTATGAACATACATCTTGCAGCTCTCTTCTACACCCAAGATTTAAAGACGTACGGTTTTGAAGAAATATTAAAGCCTCTAATTGACGATTTGAAAATTTTAGAAACTGAAGGTATCCAACTTCCATTTATTGATGAACCAGTATTTGGCTCTGTAATTCAAGTCACAGGAGATAATCTTGCTTTAAATTCTTTGCTCGGCTTTGTTGAATCTTTCAGTGCAACATACTTTTGTAGATTCTGTCTGACAAATTCAGTCTGTTTTTTCTGAGGATAATCCAGGACTTACTCTACGCTCCAGAGAGCTTCATATTGAACATTGTAATGCACTAAGTGAAGATCCTGCTCTACCTACTGTTTATGGTGTTAAAAAACGTTGTGTGTTTGATTCATTACAGTATTTTCAGTGTACTGATAATTTTGCGGTTGATATTATGCATGATTTGTTGGAGGGTGTCGTACAGTATGAGCTTAAGCTGTTTTTTCAGTACCTGCTTAAAAATGGTTACATCTCTATCAACACGTTGTCAGATAGGATACAGACTTTTAATTATGGACACTTGGAACGTAAAAACAAACCGAGTCACTTAAAAATTGAGGACAACAGCAAGCACTTAGGTTTAAATGCAATTCAGTCATGGTGTATTCTACGCAATACCCCACTTATTTTTGGTGATGTGGTTGAAAGGGACAATAATCACTGGAACTTATTGCTCCTCTTGATACAGATTGTTGATATAGTCTTCTCCCCTATCCTTACTGATGGTATGATATGTTACCTAAAACATTTGATCTGTGATCACCATAACATGTTCAAAATTTTGTTCCATGATAAGAAATTGATTCCCAAACACCACTTAATGATACATTATCCAAGGATTATAAAAAAAATTGGCCCTCTTATACATATGTGGTGTATGCGATTTGAAGCAAAACACAATTTTTTTAAGAAGTCTGTAAAAATTTTTAAAAACCTTACTAAATCTCTAGTAAAGCAACACCAGCGTCAACTGGCATTTTACTATGAAAATTATGATTTTAAGCGGTTTGAGATTGGTCCTTTAAAAATAAAAAGCATAGATAGTTTGGAAGGTGGAGAATTACTCTGTCATACATTACAATTAGATCCATGTTCAGATGTTTCCACTACATGTTGGGTCAGAAATTATGGCACAGAATACCAGATTGACTTGTTGGTATGCACTGGAACATCCCATGATGACCTACCTGTATTTAAGAAAATCTGTAATATCATAATACATGAACAACGTGCTTTCATAATAGGCTGTGCTGTTGACACACTGTACTTCGATGAACATTTTCATGCATACTGTATAGAAGAGCAAAATAATGAACATGTTGTGATTTTCATTGACCAGCTGACGTATTTTAGACCATTTGATAAGCAATACTCTAATGAGAGTGAGAGGACATACATTGTGCCTTACTGTTGCATGTTTTAATATTTGTGGTGCTAGTTTAAAAATAAATGTTTTAAACTGCCAAACATGACTACCTTTTTATTTTCAGAAAGTTTA